GATGTAAGTTGCTGGGCTTAGATTTGGAAATACATTACATCTACATTTCAGTGGTAACAGATAAGGTGATGATGATCATCATCTTTCTTTATTATTGTTGGCACTAACGTTAACTTTACCTCAAACTAAAGCAGCGTCTCTTCGGAGCTGTCATTTTCTTAAATTAACACAGTCTCATCCCAAGACGTCATACAACTGACGCTTTTGACCATACGTCAACATCCGCCTTTTTAGGGTACCCTTTAACGTCAGTTAGATGATGATCCTGGCGCGTCATCCAACTGACGCTTTACCTTTAACGTCAGTTAGGTTTAGGTCTGGGGGTAGGGTTAGGATTAGATAACGTCATCTAACCGACGTTAAAGGGTACCCTAAAACGGCGGATGTTGACGTATGGTCAAAATCGTCAGTTGTTTGACGTCTTGGGATGAGACTGTGATTAGACTGCTTAAATGAGCCACGGCAATGGTTCAAATGAGCTTTTAACGCTAGACTAACGCCTTTATTTTCAACACGATCACCTTGTACCCAAACCATTTCGAAACTAAAAAGGAGCCATTTGTCCTCTGATTACATACAAGCTCCTTGGCGCCGTGTTTGTGGGACTCATGTTGCGCTGTATGGGGATTTTAAAAAAGTGAAATGAATGGAAGGGCGGTGCCGGGACAGTGTGTGTGTGACATCATTGGGCATATTTTAAAGCAATTGGTTAACTGGTTTCAACAGGCTAATGAGGCTTGGTGGTTGATCAAGAGAATTTTTAGTTTTCGCCATCCCTACCCTGTACAATGTCGAAAGTGCCTACAAATGGGCACACAGGTGTCCGAAATGGACCTTGGAGTAGTAGAAGAAGCTTGTCCTGTCAAATGAGTCCCATTTTCTTTTACACCATGTACAGTAGGTGGACAACCAGAATGTCGTTTAAATCTACCGCGGCAAAAATAAACCAGCCGTATTTCAAAGTCTGTGGCGAAATGACCACCAGGTGGCGCAAAGGGACATTTAGCGAAAGCAAAACGTAATTATGTAAAAGTAGCCTACATTTTAAATAGAATATAGCTTTAACTAGAATAGAAACTTTTAGGCTATAGGAGAACATTTTATTAATCAAAAGTTAAAATAGGCCTATCTCGCAGTCAGCGAAAATAAAGTGCTGCTTTCAATGACGCTATTGAGGAATGCGAAGACTGAAGAGCGCTTCTCTCGCGTGCGCACACTGACTGCTGAACAAACGAACTTCTGTACGTGTGCTCTGGGAGTGACGACACCAGGATGCACTGTGGGACGACGACAAGCCGGTGGAGGGAGTGTGATGCTCTGGACAATGTTCTGCTGAGAATCCCTGGTTCCGGTCATTCAGGTGGACGTATAATTGACGCATACCACCTACATAAACATTGTTGCAGACCAGGTACAGCCCTTCATGACAATAGTGTTCCCTAGTGGAAGTGGCCTCTTTCAGCACGATAATGCACCCTGCCATACTGCGCACATTGTTCAGGAATGATCTATGAGATGTGCTGGTCCGACAAGTTCGATCCATAGCAGCTTCTCACAACCTACAGGACTTGAAGGATCTCCTGCTAACCTCTTGGTACCAAATACCACAGGACACCTTCAGGTGTCTTGTAGAGGCCGTGCCTAGGCAGGTCGGTTCTTTTTTTTTTAGCACGCAGAGGACTAACAGCATGTTAGGCAGGTGGTGTGTGTATGCTTGCAGTGTGTTGAATCATTTGTGTGCTTGTGTTTATTTTGGCCTCATAAGCAGTTTGAAGGAGCTTATGAGATTTGTGTGTGCATTATAGAGCAGTACAGTATGAAGATGTTTGTGATATTTCTGGCAGGTAAGACAAGTTGGGCTTCTTCTCAGTGAACACCGTTATCGGTCCATGAGAGATCTGAGATGCCACGACTCCGCTCAGTATGTGAGGCTGTTGGAGTGTGTCTGTGTGATTGGTGTGGTGGATTTTCAGGCTTGTCTCCTCAGGCTTCGCCTACAGCTACAGAGATGGAGGTCTACTCAGACAACCACAGCAGAAGCCTGAAGCCAAGCTGTTGCGTTTGAGTGGTCGCCCTAAGGGGGTGTCTTTCAGATACAGGTATTTTACAGCAGATGTGGGTCCACTTTTAGTGTCGGAGAGTCTGCAAGTTTGACGGTTCAGCAAACACAATAATCTGCTACTTAGACGAAAATGAACTCTCTTGTAAAATGAGGCCTCGTACTGTACTTCTAAATGTAAAACCTGTCACATGTTCTGTTAAAGGATTGCACTTTCTAACAGGAGTTTCCCCGTCTGTTGTTCTGTTGTGTACGAGTGGGCCACAGGGGTCAGAGGTCATGGCTGCAGTGCTTGTTGTCGTGGTGACAAACATGGCATGTTTCATTACTGTGAGAATGTGGTGTTGTGCGGGATGGGAGAGGCGTACGAGTGTGATTGTGTGTGTGTGTGTGTGTGTGTGTGTGTGTGTGTGTGTGTGTGTGTGTCATATGGGCTGGGTCAGAAGCTGTCTGTCAAACACCCACACCTTCACACATTCTGCTGTGTGTGTGTGTGTGTGTGTGAGGGGCTCCACACCAAATGTTCCTCTGATACAGTATGTGTATTCCTCTAATCCCCCTTTTCCTCCTTTTTTTTTGTCTGTTCCTCTCCTTTCCTTTCATTTTCTTTTCTTTTTGTCTGTTAATTTTCTTTTTTTTTTCCTCTTATTTTTTTTTTTTTGCCTGGTTTCTTTCATTTTCCCTTTTCTCTTATTTTTGGTCTTTTTTCTTCTGTTTTTTTTGTCTGTTCATTTTCCTTTCCTTTCCTTTCATTGTTTTTCTTTTCCCTCATCATTCTTTTTTCTTCTCATCTTTTTATCTTTTTTTTGTTCTTTTTCCCTCATTTTTGTTCCTTTTACTTCTAATCTGCTCTTCTCTATCTTTCCACATATGTCTAATCTCCTCCCCTCCCCTTATTTATTAAACGACTAAATGAATAAGTCCGCGGGTGAGTAGATGGATAGATAAAAGAACAGAGTAATAAAGTGGACCCGACCCTCTAAACTTTTAATGAGCTGTATAGCATCTAATTAATTTCTTCAAAGGCTGCAGATATTCAAGAACAGAGGTCTGATTTCACACGCGGCGCAGGTCACACTCCTTCATATGGATAGAAGGAGGGATGAATTATCCTGTCCTCTCTCATTAAAGGAGAGACACACTCCCTCCCTTTTTCGCACTTCACATCTTCCATCTCACACCATTTATTAATTTCCGTCATCCATCTTTGTATGTAAATTGATAAGTGTAGTAATCACACCCACATCTTAAATTCTCCATATAGCTCATGTTTGCTCCTTAATTCATATTTATGAGTTTGATGCATATTCATGGCATGCAAATAACAGGTCTAAATGCGAACAGGTCGATCTAGGTCTATTGCGACCTGAAACGTCCCGTCTGTCACTGCCATAATGCCAGTTAATCAAGGTATTAATGACATATTACATTGATCTAGTGCTGACATGAAATATTTCTTGGTGGAGAGTGGGTGAACATTGTTCCCCAAAGCAAAAAGTGTGCATTATGGATAAATGTTGAATGAATACAATGTTTTAAAAGTCTTAAAGGTCAGTAGCAAAAAACAAAACAAAAAAACCATCCTGTTTAATTCTGAACGACCTTAAATATCCTTAAATAAGCATCAGTGCAAAAAAAATGACTCATTTAGGATCAATATGAAATGTTTTTCTTTCTTTTTCTTTTTTCTTGATTCATGTCAGCAGCACTGTGATCAGATCACGCAGACCCCGAGTCCTGATCCGTGTGGTCATCCAGCTGAACCAGCAGAAAGTGTTCCTCTCAAATAGCTGCAGAATTAATGATAAACGAGTACAGGAATCACTTTATTCAGCTCTTTATTCAGAGATAAACCCGGCCTGGAAAAGCAAGCAGAATTTATTCACTACTCTCTGCTGTGCCTCAGAAGCCCTGAAAGTAAAGTTCAGCATGTCTATAATATTTGGATGCTGAAGCTCTCTTTCTAAAGCTTAAAACGAATTACTACATTTGTTAAATGTGCTTAAAGTGATGTTTTTTGGTATGCCATGCACAAAATGGACCTAAGAAATAACTGAAATAGTGACACATCATCCCTGTTTCTGGCAGGCCTTAGTGCATATGTGTTTATTTTAAAATATGTAGCCATATAGAGAGAGCAGTGTTATTATTATTATTATTATCAAATATGTTTTAGGTGCATTTTGCATTTAAAATTCACTGGGCTCCAAATCTAAGTAGGCATGTTTAAACACAAAAATGTTATTTTCGGGACAATGAAACACAAATGCAAGAACACACTTTGTGCGAATGCAAAAAAAATAAAAAAAAAAAGTCAAGGAAGCAGCTTGTGTGTGTGCGTGTGGTTTTTTTTTAAAGCCAATCATAAAACACTGTCTTTTTTCCTCCTTTGATTTTACAGACATCGGGTTGACTGATGTGTCTTGGGAGCACCTGCTCTGTATCGCTCATTTCACTTGACATAGGCCTCGCAAACAGGAAATGTCTCACCTTGCACTTAAACTGGAACAAAAACACGCTTTGCTCTCATGAATGCAGTTTTTGTCTGTACGCAAACTGACACTGACTCCTTCAGACACTGTGCTAGTAATGCATTGCATAAGAATAGCATGGTCATATTGTATCCCAACATTGCACATTAATAGTAAAAAAAAGCTTATAATGTTATTCCTGGTTGTCACCATGTTGCAAAAAAGACATCATGTTCTTGTCCAGATGTGAACACAAGGTAATGAGATTTACTAGACAAGGATGTACATATTTATGCTTTTGCAACTCTCTGACGCAGGAAAGCCAAGATCATCTACAAGTTCTCCTCCTAATTTTTCCTAATATTCCAGATGAAATCTGTCTCCTAATTTGGATTTTGAAGGTGTTTGATTGAAGCAGTGAGATAGCTCACTAACAAGATCGATCACTCTCTCTCTCTCTCTCTCTTTAGCTTGTCCTCCAGGAACGTTCAAGTCCAGTCAAGGGACGGGTTTGTGTCTTCAGTGTCCGTCCAACAGTAGGTCCACATCTGAAGCGGCCACCATTTGCGTCTGCAGGAACGGCTACTACAGAGCAGACGGAGAGCAGCCAGACATGCCCTGCACCAGTGAGTCATTATCATCATCATTTCACTGTTGTTGTCATTATCATTAGCATTAAACTGAAGCGGTCGGTCATAGCACCGTTTTAGAAGCAGTTTGAAAGCACAGGTCTCTGCTACCAATAAGTTGTAGCCCAAACCGAGGCCGCTAATGAGATCAACTGAGCTATCCTGAGGAGAAAAAAATGGCTATTTTGACCCGTGTGTTTTAAGTGTGTTTACAAAAAAAAAAAAAAAAGGAATAAAAAAATTACATTAAAAAATGTATTAAAAAGACAATTAAAGACAATTTTTAAATAAAAAAGTATTTGATGCACTTTGATTTTTTACATATGTTTAATTATACGGTATATTTGTGTATCTCTTTATTTTCATTCATGTGAAAAGTTAGCAATAGTGTTTTTTTGTCGTTTGTTTTTTCCGTATGAATACAACATTTTAGTCATTACTGACAGGCTTACAAGATTACACACAGTCACACACACTGTAATTAACAGTTAAGCAATTCTCATGTATAATTTGATCAGTAGATTTTCAAAATCTTTTTTAAAATCTTCAATCACAAATTCAGTAGTGCAGAGCCAGTTTTATTTAGTTATGGCCGTCCTGGGTTACAGTCTGGAAACTCACAAGCACTGCAGATCACAGTGTTGGAGTCTCCATTGGAAAGAGTATCTTAATTTATGACATAATTTAATTTTTAAATTTAGCAAATGGTGTGTCCTTAATGTTCTTATCAAAAAGTCACCATTTTAAAAATCAATATGAAACTCTGCTAAATATTAATGTATCACAGTGTGAATACATCCATGTTTAAAAAGATAGAGGACTATATTTGCATCATTTGTGACTGTATTCTCAGATATATTGTACCTTATCGCTGAATCAAAGGAAAATGAGGCTGCACTCTAAAAGTGCCTGTTCGTGTTTGCATTCCTGAAGAGCTGTGTTAGAAAGCCCTCAGCATTTTAATTCTCCATTTAGAGTCTAAAATGGCGTTCAGTGAAACATATACAGATGGCCGTTTGCAATTTAGTCCAACACCTGCTCAGAGGAAGGCCCATGGAACACCTGGTCATTTTACTGTCAGAGAAAAAATGAATATTTCTCTTTGAACTGCTGCTAGAAATTCATGTAGAGCATCTAGCAGCTACAGAAATATGTTTAAACGTGTAGATATATAATAGGGAAAGGGTCTGCGGTCTGATTAACACTATGATCGATTGCTGGGAGAGAGAGTTCACAGGAATCGATCATAATACCCCAACATGCATGTAGTGAATTACATCATCTCGACTTCAGTGTAAAGTTACATTTCACTTCCTCCACTGTCTCATGTTACTCCTGTCTCTCTCTCTATCTCTCTGGGGATTTGTGGTTGTCTCTGTGGGGAGTAGTGCAGTGGGACTGGCCCGAATCGCCTTGAGCCTCCATCAGAACTTAAATTATACATTCCTCAGAAATGTCTGCTGGGAGTGTACACTATGTGTGTGTGTGTTGATGGGTGACAGCTCACTGGTTAATTGGAGGATGCCGGACAGCACAATCCTCAAGATTAATTCTCCAGGAGCTATGTGGCAAAGACTGTTCTGGGGTTTGTTTGTGTGCGCGTGTGTAGATAGAGCATTCTCTCTTGGATTTAGCCGTTTCGATTGGCCGAGCAAGAGCAGAACTTGTTATCTGGGGCTTGCTTGGCGACAAGTCTGGGTTTGATGCAACTAATGTGTCTAGGTTTACATGGAACGCCGGTTACTGTGCGAGTGTATGTGGAAGTTTTGTTTGCTATATTTTTTCGAACAAAATTGTCCCTAAAATTCAGCTGAATCTAATGAAACGTCTCTTTGGGGTTATTCAGGGTAGTCTACAATTGGAAAATAACAGATACATAATGGTTTTATGTATTTATCTGTATATATTTATTTACATATATATATATATATATATATATATATATATTGTTTTTTTTATTATAAAAATGCATATAATAGTAAGTGTGAACTATAGAAATAGAAAAAAAAAACTTATTTTAAATAATAATTATTATTAAATTGTTTATTATTATTTTTTTATTGTAAACATGCTGCTCTTTTATGGGTAGGGTGGGGATGTGCTAGTCTGTTAAATGGTCATTCCACCTCTGGAACGATGAATGTGTATTTAAAATTAATAATTTATGTAGAAGAAATGTGATTTTTTTTTTTTGTATAAATTTGGAGCTTTCTAGACTGAGAAAAGCCAGAAAATGTATTTTTGGCTTATGTGGATCAAAGACAACAACTCCCAGAATGCACTTGCTTTGCTGCCCATGGAGGCCACGCCTACCGATAACCGTGTAATAGGTAAACAACAAGTCTAGGCTAATCTAGCGAGTCTCCGTGATGAGTCTGCCCGAAAATGTGTTTCGAGATCGCCCAAAATGTCCGGGATTTGGCAGTCTCCATTCATCATGTTTACTGTGGCGAGCAGGACGAGTGAGGGCCGTGTGGAGACCGGTGGCATGATTACCAATGAGTGACACCTGTGAAAATTTTCTTAGCAATGTTTAAACGCACATCAACCGATCACTCTTTTTAGCGTTCATGTAAACACTACAATCAGATTCACCAATCAGAATGAATTCAGTTAGATTGAATCAAAAGCTGTACATCTAAACAATGCATGGCGACTGCAGAAATCTGTGATTGGTCTGTTAGCGTATTAGGTCCAACCCCCTATGGGCGGGTTTGAAAGGGTGGGAATAGTGCTTGTAGTCTTTACAGAAATCCCCCCTCTTACACTTCCTCGTACAATGACGTAAAACGACGATTTTTTCGTCATTGTAGGAGGAAGTGAAAAAGGTAAATAGCAGATTTCTCTCGTCTCAGGGGAAAATGAGAGAGTGTTTCACGACCATTGAATAGTATGACTGGGTTTCTAACAATGGAAAGCTTAATGCAAATGGGTGGAGTGTCTCTTTAACATTGGTTATTGTTCTGTAAAAACAATAGAAGTGTATGGCATGTCCTCATATAGATATGTGTGTGTGTACTGTGAATGTGTGGATAAAGCATTCTCCGTTTGTTTGTTTGGCTGTGTCCGAGCAGAAATGGTTATCTGAGGATTGGTTGGCCAACACGGTCTGGATTTGATAAAGCTAATATGTCTAGGCTTATATGGAACACTGCTTGCTGTTTGAATGTTGGTTTATTGGTGTGGAGTTGTTGCCAGAAGCTGAATCTGATAAATCCCAGCTTTAGAGCCGTCCAGGAAAGATTCAAAAGATTCATAAAATAAATAATGCAGAGATAGACTGAAGTCTTTATAATTAGTTGTATACATTTTTATTTTTTTATGTGAATATTTGATTTAATGTCCTCATTTAGATGGCTAATTATTGTATTTTCAGCAGCACTGATATCTCGTATAGGTTCATGTGTAGTTCATGTGATTCACACACACACACACACACTTACAGATATAAGAGCACTAAGGCGAATTGCGCTTAGACAGATCCCTGGGGGACACTTCTATGGATTGCTCCGAGCCAGTGCACACGCACACACACACACACACACACATGATTGACCTGCAGGAGTCTGTGTTGTGTGTACAGGTGCAGTGAACAGGACTGTAAAGCAGTGTAATTGCTTTGCTGCCGTTAATCCTCTGCCAGCGACGTCTGACTCGCTGTGATTCTGCTATGAGCTTAAGCCTGTGTACACGCTTTCTTCAGCAGCCCGCGTGTAGTGCAGCGCTACAAACCATCACACACACATACAGATGTGCACATCCACACAGAGTTCCCAAAAAGTCAAACATCTGCAGACTAATGCTGCTAGAGCTTTTCTCTGAGCCGTTTTTTGTAGTGATTTTTATTGGATGAATGAATCTGTTCTCCTCAAGTTTGTGTTTACAAGACTCATCTTGAATTTTGAAATAGCCGAAGATTGCCAATACGTAAATACACATTTCCTTTTACAAATGTAGTGGATTGAGTTTCTGAATAACAAATAGGGCATTTTTTAGCAAGCATGCAGCAGTCTACTGCTAGCATTCTCATTGATTATTTCAACCCGGTCTCATCCCAAATCGTCATATAACTGACGTTTTGGGACGTCTTTTGACCATACGTCAATATTCGCCTTTTTAGGGCCCCCTTAAACGTCGGTAGATGAGGTTATGGGATCCTAACTCTACCCCATACCTAAACTTAACCCTAAACCTAACCCGTCACCTAACTGACGTTAAAGGTAAAGCGTCAGTTGTATGACGGCCCGGGATCGCCATCTACCGACGTTTAAGGGGGCCCTAAAAAGGCGGATATTGACGTATGGTCAAAATACGTCCCAAAACGTCAGTTATATGACGATTTGGGATGAGACTGTGTTAATTATTTCAAATCTGTCGAGCCCAATTTATAAATGTGTTTGCAGTTAAAGGTGCTATATGTATTTTTTAGCGACCTCTATCGGTGATGATTTAGATTGCAACCAATTTTTTACAAGAGCGCTCGTGGTCTTGGGTGCTCGAACACAAGAGTGAGCACTCATGGTACACGGCCACGCTGAGACTTTCAACACACCAGAGAAAGCATCACACAACATGCTGGAAACTCATGTAAACGTTACAATAATAGGCTACTTTTATCAGCTTGACATTGAACTAATGCTCCATACTTGTACCATGATAACACTATATTTGTGGTGTTATCTAGCATAAGGCATTTCACTAACTATTCGTGTATCTTTCACGATCAGCAATGTCAACATAGGTGAATGTATAATATGATAACGAAAACGGTTAGTGAACTAGACTAAACAATTTCAGTGTAACGGATCATAGGAAGTAACAGTAATGTACTGAACGTGTCTGGAAATGTGTATTATAAACAATATGATAGTAGTGGGATGAGTGACTTTAGACAGTAGATCTAGTACATAAAATCAAAGTTATATCCTAAAGCACCTACTTTTTGTCTTTTGTATTCATTTCATGTCTCATCTATGTTGTAGTTTACCTTGCTATTT